TTTTTGGACCCGCGCGCCCACTTCAAAAATGACTGGTTGAAAGCTCGTCATGTACCAGAACCAACGCAGTGGGAAGCGGTAAGGCTGTGACGTGGACAAGATCCAGTCTACCACAACCTTGATTTCTTGCACGCAGATTGACCTGACCCGGCTTCAGAAGTAGGTGAACTGCAGGGGTGTTTTGCCCGACCACCTGAGTATGAGACCTCAAACAAGGAGAACGCCACATGTTGACCAGTAGAATGATTAGAAATGCTTTCTTCTTCTCAGCAGCCGCTGGCATGCAGACCTCGCTCCATCAATCAGAAGGCTTATATGGCTTCCTCTTTTGACCAATCATCAGTCAGCAAAGTGGAGGCCCATAAGGAGAGCACTTGTCAATAAAATGTGTAGGTACCTAGAATTTGAAAGAAACCATAGTATCTTGCGACGGAAAACGAGCAAGTGAACAGAGTTCCTTTGACATTCGAGTGCTTTAAGCTAAGCTGTGCGGCTCCGGTGCCGTGTCCCAGTTCCGTTGCAACGACCCACTCTTCCGGTACGACGCTGGCCGGCCAGAGGGGCTGCGGCCGGCTGTTGCGGAGATTTTGTACGGCCAGGTCTTCGGTAGAAATCCAAAGCACCGACTTTTGGGCTGTAGCACTCGTGTTCGGGCCTCTTTCGCATCGTGGAAGCGACTTTTCTCACATTGCCACTAAGCGTTGACTAACACGCTCAGTCACCTTTCATCTTTCCTAGTTCGAATTCCTCGCGGGCCATCATGAGCGACCCACGCCGCGACCAGCGTTCATCGCCGGACTCCTCCAGTCGTTTCAGACCAGATAGGTGTTTCTCTGCGTAGTCCACATGCCAGGTTGATCGTCCGATTCGGATCTTCTTCAACCCCTTTAGCACCGCCTTCGTGCGCGACCGCCACCATGTCTTCTCTTGATTCATAGCGCATCGCCTGAGAAACATGAGCAAAAAGCAAATTTGGTCGCTCCTTGAATCCTTAAGTAGCATCTCACAGATGGTCAACAGTCTACTCATCTGCATGCTCTTTTCGAATTCTAACTTGGTTGCAAAACTTGCGGAAAGGGAGGTCGGAGGAACGAAAGTCGATAGGTTCGATGCGAGGTACATCAGTACCCAGTGAATGTAGATCTAAGTCATCAAAACCCGTACTTATGACCTGAAGCTAGAGAGCCTACCTCTATCTCGGGGAGCAGTTCCTTACGTAGGTCGAGGTTTTTGATGATGCCATATTTGTCCGCAATCTTGATCAGCTGAGCCACCGTCTCGTCAGGGGAGGCCTTAAGATTGACAAGATCGCAATAATACAGCAAGACAAGGAGGTCCTTCTCCGGGTCGTCAATAAGTGTCAGGTCGGACGGTCTGAACGGGAGAGGCAAAGCCTCGTCTCCATTGGAGCTCGGCCCCAGCTCAGTCCCTGCATCTGGGTGATTGAGAAACGGGTCTACAGCGCGTGCCAAACCTAACAGTACCTTCAATGGCGGACCCAGATCAGTTGTCAAGCTGAGTACTGTCGACTCAATCACAAGAGAAACATAATCGCGGACGTTGGCAGCCTCTCGGGCCTCGTTGACCAACCCGTCCAAGTGCTCCACCAGCGAGGCCACAGCCTGGGGTCCTGAGCTTGCGTCGTCCCCAGCCAGATACAGATTGCGCAACTGAATGGCGGAGTGAATGGCCTGTCGTGCGTTCTCTGAAATGATTGGAGGAAGGTGGCGAACCCATACCGTTGTCGAGCTTAACGTTTTGGCGACCCGGGGCGGGGGTGGCGGACTGCGCAAGTCAGGTCACCGGTCGATCTTGGGCCCAACTTTAGACTCCAACTCACCGCGAAGAAGCTCCCCCCATGTCAGAGAGCAATTGCGACACCGAGCTTTGAACGGATGAATAGCCGGGCGCGCCCAGGAAGGTGAAGACTGCGGCATTCATGTCGTCCGTGAGCTACGGCGCGGCCGTCAGTTATAAAAGCTCGGAAGCTTGGGAAATCATCGCAGCGAGGCCGACTGCGTATTTCTTAATTTTCAAGTCGTATTTCGTGTCTGCGTTTGCGACCGAAGGCTTCGAATGGCTGAAGGGCCAAGCTTCCAGCTACGCGGAGCTGAACGGCGGCGCGGGATGAGCTCCCGGATTGGACCATCCCAACGCTCCGTGAACGCCACCGTGTTTTCCAGCCATCACAAGACGCGTGCGGGGTACTGGGGTAAGACCCTACGCTATGCCGGGTCACAGGATGGAAGCATCGTAGGGGTCGAGAGCTGCGATTCAAGATCTCAAGAGGTGATGTGGTGACAAAAAGGATGTATGTTTGTTGTGTTGAGTAGTTCGATATGTACTCAGAATGCTAATATGTACACGTCCTTGATGATGATGCGTGCCAGATTCGTGGTTCGCCTGTTACGCCATTCCGTTCCTGCATCCCTGAAAAAAATGCACACTTCCAAATTGGTGCAGCTCCAATGTCCGGAGACTTTCCCATGATATCCTTTCCTAGTGATGCCGCTTATAAACGCCTTTGCCAATGCGATGTGTGATCGATACGATTGTTCGATGTTGGGTTGGTGGTATTGACGATGCCGTCGTTATGTGTTGGTGAAGTGGGTAGGCGGGTCTCTTAGACCTGGTTCTGAGCCTCGTAGACTTGCATCGCCTTCTCGAGCTCCTCAAGGCTCGAGCGGTCTCCGTAGGCATCCATCAATTTTGCCGCACGCTTGCGGTCTTCCACTGCCTGTCTTTCCGCCTGCTCAGCCATGGCGATGCGACGTTGGACCATGGCTTGTCGGTAGGTGTTCAAGCCGTAGCCGACGGCAACGATTGCTACTGTGGGCGGGATCCTGTTGCCACATCCGTTAGCATACCTCATTTATAATCGAACATGGCAAATATTGGATGTTCATCGACTCAGGGAAAATGCGTACCATCTCATGGCGAGTCTGCGGGGGGTCTGAAGGAAGTAGCTCGGGGGAACGCGAGCGTTGGTGGAAAAGGCTCTGGAGGCTTGTCTGAACATGGTATGTGATGATTTCGGGTTGGTGCGGATGTTGGGGGTCGATCGATATTTGTATGCTTCGTCTGTATCTTGGTCCGTTGAATGTAACGCAAGGGATGGGAGAGATCTCTGCGGGCTAAAAGAAAGCGCCGGGTGGCAGCGGCCATGCATTCATATAATGAACCCTCCAGACGCCAGAGCGTCTCCCGCCCATCGCAGTCGCCCGCGCCCCCTTGGCATGCCTATCTGATGAGACCCCCCAACAACCAGGCCATCCCCTAACTTGCAAGGCCATATCCGTAAGGTAGCCATTGGATTGGATGGCCACACCAAACAGGAGCAAGCATTTCCGTAGGGACGAGCACCTCCGCAGGGGGCAAAGCGGGATGCGCGGCAGTATTCGTGTGACACCAGCATGGCACCACGCTCAGCAGCAGCCCCAATTGGGCATGGCGCCGCCATCGTTCCAGAGCGTCGATTGTGGGGTGATGTCGACCGATTTGCGGGGTGTAATCGGCACAGCCCGGGTGCAGTAACGTGACGGTCGTTGGTCCTCGCTGGAGTCCAGGAGACCTTGACTTTTCTTTTTGGGGAGGCGGTCAGTCCGGAGGTTGTCTGTTCCATGTCACGGCGGACGGCGAAAGAAGAGGCCGTGATGGAGCAAGAGCACTGAGCTGCCAACTGTGTTCATTGAGTTGCTCCAGGTGAAGGCGACAACAGCATTCCCGAGGCAGCTTGCCGGCTGGTCGCGCCCCCTGTCCACTATCTCTTGACTTGTCTGTTGATCCCTGATTCCTTGACCACACCAAAACGACGCTCGCACAGCCCCCCGGATCTGCCTGGGCGGCTGGCTGGCTGTTCTGTCCAGCGCCCGTCCATCCTTGTTGTGTTGTTGTCTGCCCGCATGTGATGGATGGTCTGTCTTTGAGGTCGGGAAAGTGCATGACGAACATTCAACGGCCGTCGGAGGGCTCCGTTTCTTCCAGACCGTGTCAATTCGCCTTCTAGCTGTGTTTTGCTCCACGGTAAGACTATTATGACATCTACTGCTCGGCAATAAACTGGAGATGTCTCAACAAGACCCTTTGGCTTGACAGGCGTTTTTCCATCCGTGCTCAATGTTTTCCCCATTCATGAAGCCGAGAATTGTCATCGTGGACGCGCAAATGCCGATTCCACCCGCGAAAAAACAGCAGACTCCACTCCAAATCGTCCCGAAATCTCGTCTCATAGCCGAAAACCCTCGTTGATGTCATCTCTGGTCCCTGAATATTATCTCTGATTTCATTTCCAGAAATCCCACAGAGTCAGGCCCATGCAGCCGCACTAGGCCAGATCTCATCTTGTCTCCATTGTATCACGCTCTGGCCCAGCCTTCTTTTGGAAGCCTTTCGTGCAATTCTCACCAATACGTTGCCAAGGCACGAAATAGGCGAGCTGCACCACCCCCGGCCTGCCGATGTCATTCAACGGAATTTCCATCAATGAGCTCAACGCATTTTCCAATGTCCGTCCCCACAACCCGCTGCCAGCTTCAGCGCTCCGCCAAGAGAGGCGGTGTTTCGTAACGTCACAACAGGCAGTCGTCCGCGACTCTTGAAGCTCCTGTAAACCAATTTGATGACGATCGTGATACTGAAGACTGTGTTTAATGCTTAACTTTAGTTGTCTTGACACAAGTATATGGGCAAGAAAGTCTCTAACTTGAACCTTGCCAACCCCTTGGGACGGACCATCACATTTCAGATGCCTGCCAAATCGTATTCCGATCGTCCCGTCGTGTCCCATCTGCACCGACTGCCAGCCACTTTGAGAGAACGGGTTGAACACTCTGCCTTTGGCAGCGACTCAGCAGAGAGTAATCCCCAGTGGCCTGAACTTGAGTTTATCAATACATATGAGTTAGGTAAGCATTACAGGGGAAAGAACAGATTCTCATTGAGTCGGCCTGGATAATTATTTACGAGAGCTGAGTGGGGCCAATATCCTGAACAATCAAAATTCACCTCTTGATTCTTTGGAATCTGGTAACCTTGGATCCGTCGCTCAGGTCTTGCTGGATTTCTTGATGTTTGTAGCCCAGCAGTCTCGGTACAACCACGAAACGAAGGGTGTAGTAGATTACTCCCAACGACAAGATTCCGAGAGCAACGACCGAGGACAGCCAGTACGGCAACGATGTGCTCCCCTTTCCGTTAGGGGGTCTTACGAAAGGCATCACAATCAAGAACTATCCGAGTCAGTAATTAACCTAACAAGTATTAGATCTTGGCAAGACTCACGATGTTTGCCGCAAGATAGATGACGATGAGAATCCAGGGGGCAGGGAGGGGCGAGTGGAAATTTGCGCGGTCGGTCAGGCGCAACTTGACCAAACCGACAGTAATGGCAAACAACAAGACGGTTGTCGGATAGCTGGATAACGACACGACGAAGTTGAATGCATCGCCGGCTGGCGGGGCGCAAATGAAAAGAATCGTGACGCCAAGATGAAGGAGCAGAGCGTAAATTGGCGTTCGAAACGGCCTGTTCTCCATGAACAAGTTGGAGAAGGGCAAAACACCGTCCTTAGCAAGTTCTTGGAGTAGGCGGGCTATGGCTGGAGTTAGTAAAACAGCCAGCTTTTATTGAAGGCCTCGATGGCATGTGCGACTCACGGATTGTGAAGGAGACACCGAGCAGATGTCCAAGAGCAGACAGAGCAACAAGTGCTGGGAGGGCTTTGGCTCCAGCGGAGGGACCAAAGACATTTTCAAAAAGAGTTGCCGCAACCGTAACCTTGGCAGCAATGAATGCTTCCTTAGGAACAGCAGCAAACTAGCAGCCTTAGTCAGAATATGGCACAGATTTGAGTTCTCAACGGAGTTTGCACTTACGTATGCAACATTGGCCAAGAGATACAACACCGCGATGACGCCCATAGACAAGGGAAGAGCCAATCTAAGTGTCCGCTGAGGATTGCGAACTTCAGAAAGGACCTGGGGTCTCATGTCAGTACCAATTCAAACTGGTCGTATCATGCAGCTTACGGCATTGACGTTGTCATATCCTTGGAAGGAGAAGATGACGTTAAGAATGGCAGAGCCGATGTTGTATCCGCTGCTCGATGTGCCTTCAAAAGCATTAGAGAAGTTGTGGGGACTCTCTATCCTGAGATGTCCCGCCAAGGCAGCAAAGCCACAGCACACGATGAAGAGGAGTGTAAACAGCTTTACAGCCGAAAGCACATCTTGAAATCCTCTGCCAACACGGGGTGCAACGGTGTGGATTCCAACAGAGAAAATAGCGCCGGCAATGGCGACACCGCGAAGTTTCCATGTCGTTGAATCAACGCCAGCCGCAACTAGGATATAAGAAGAGAAGGTAATGGCGTTACTCGCGGAAACCTCTGTATAAGCTTGGTTAGATGACGGAACCGGTTCGATCTCGGGTTTAAGAGCTGAGGCTGGGGGGACAAAACCTACGGAGAAAGACGCAGTAAAATACGTAGATGCACGTTTGCATGAGTCTAGGGCTAAATACCCGTTCCAGATAGTTCTTGATACCGCCAGATCTGGGGATCGCTGTGCCGAATTCGAGCATAACAAAGATACCGCATGTCGAAATGATAGCGCCAATGACCCAGCACATCAAGGCCATTCCTACGCTTCCTGACAGCTTGAAAATTGTGCTAGGAGTGGAAAATATTCTGAGAGAATGTCAGCCATGTATATTTCTTAAACCGCGCAGCCACAATAACTTACCCTGCGCCAATGATCTTATTCACAACAAGCGAAACAGCTCCAAAGAGCCCAATTGTCCGCTCCTGCAACACATTGACTTCCACAACTCCCAGCTGACCATCTTTGACAGAGTCATCAGCGCCATCACTGGCAGTACTGATTGCCGGGGTGCCTATGAAATCGTTAGCATAGGCGTCAAACACCTCAGCCAAACCCCTGTTTATCGATGTTCACTTACTCTTGATAACATCGCCCTCAGAAGCCATTATCGTAGACAACTCGATACCAAGGATTCAGAGGTGAAAAGTCGCCAAGGACAACGATACCAGAGCTAACGATAAGAAAGCACGGTTTTAACATCTGGAGATCTGCTTTTGTGAAAATCTGCTAGCGACGGATAGTTCCCGACTTGTGAGCTAGCACGATGCATCCGCGCTCGCAGAGCTGGGGTACAGAGCACGCCATACTGGAGCCAAGATGTCGAATTACCCAATTCAGTGATGACCACGCAGCGAGTAATAGGGAAACAGGGAGTCATTTACTGAAGCATACCAACTAAAAACGATACCGATTTCTTGGATTTGGTGTTTGCTGCCGAAATTTATTGCCTGTTACAGTAGCATCACACCAGCCATCCGGCTGCAGTCGATGTCGGGGGTTTCCCGAAAATGTCGTGATTCTCATCCCAAATTCGCCATCGCAGCGTACGGCAGCTATTGGGGGGAAAGCTGCAGGCACCGAGAATATGGCAGATATTTCACCCGGGGCGCATCCGACTCCGGTCCGAATTGTTCGAAAGAAGGATACCAGAGATGGATTGCAACTTATGTTTGAGCATAAATGCGGGTGGGATATCGGACTCTTTTACGTCAAGCGAGCGTAGATGTCGACAATCTCTACTGAAAACTTCGACGAGAAGCCTGCAGCGACCATGGCCATTGAGTTCGAGACTTTCGAAGTCCCCGGAGCGCGGACTTACTTCGGCAACACTTTACCTTATGGCCTCCAAGTGAAGCAGGCAGGAGCTGCCACCCCTGCCGTCGAAGATACGGCTGCGGCTCTGCGAAAGCTAGGGGAATCAGGCAAACTTCAAGAGCTTCTGGAACGCCACGGCGCAGTTCTAGTTCGCGGGGCGGGCCACCCGTCCGCAGACACGTTCGCCAAGCTCGTTGGTGCCGCTGAGGAAGGCCGCGGTTCTCATCCCCATGTGCAGATCGGCTTGGCTGGAAAGAGAACACCCTTGGCGAAGAATGTATGGACTGCGAACGAAGGCTCGCCATTGACGCGGTTTTATCAACATAACGAGGTATGGAAACCTGCCTGCGATGACTACCTCACGATACTCAACAGACATATGCCGTACAGTACTCGAGATACACGCGCTTCCCTTCTAATATCCACTTCTACTGCGTCAAAAAAGCGCCAAAAGGTACAGAAGAAGACATGAATGGCTTGCAAGGGAAGGACGTTGCTAATTAGTTCATCAATCAAGGTGGTGCAACGGTCATCGCCAACAGCGCCAACGTCTTCGAGAAGGTCCAAGCCGAGATTCCCGAGCTTGTAGAGCAAGTGCACAAGCGTGGATTGGGCATGAAGATGGTCTTCCGCGCACCTGGAAACGAAGCTAAGGTCAACTCATTCAACTGGGCGGGGGAGCACAGCTTCGGGCAGGAGTTGGTCCCCGGCGACGACGAAGCTACTATGCGCCAAAAGGTCGAAAAGCAAGTGCGCAAATTGACAGATGACTTCAATTGGCAAGAGGATGGAACTCTTGAGTTGACTCAGCACATTCCAGGTAAACTGCATGAAACTGCGTGCGGGCTTGGCTGCAGCTAACACCCACAGGCATTTGGAGACTGCCAGCAAGTGGTAGACCTGTCTGGTTCAATGGACTTGTAGGACGCCACGGCATTACTCGAGATATTGGAGCTCTTGACCCTCCCCACATTGGCCGAGATGGCATGACCTGTGAGCCTTCTGAGTTGACGAACGCTAATATTGAGCTAACGGATTGAAAGACGTCCCATGTGTATATGGAGACGAGACACCGATTCCGCGACACCTTCTTGACAAGTTGATCGATGTCATTGACAAGGAAGAAATCAGCCTGGTACTAGAGGAAGGCGATTTGTTGCTGGTCGATAACTTTCAGGTATCACATGGAAGGGAGCCCTGGGAGGGAGACAGACAGATCTTGGTGTCCATGTGGGATACCTCCATCCCGATCGTCGCATATTGAAGTAACTAACTCGTTGGACTTCTACTCACTATCCTCAATTTATGGCTATTGGCTTAGCTCAAGCCAAATACCTGTTATGAGCCTTTACCAACTATCTCCACCTGTTCGACTGTATGAAGTACTTTGAGCCAACACTATCTCGGTGTTCCAACTCAAAGAGTGTACTGGTAAGCAGGATGGCACTGCCAGCGCTCCCCAAGAGCTCTTGAACGAGACCCTTCACGAACACCGTCGGCCTGTAAGTCTTCGTCACCTGCGCGACGAAGCTTTCTGTTCCTCCAGCGGAGGTAGAAATGTAGAATCGTAGCTAGCAGGATGCACATTGCAGCGAAAGCGACGTTCAGAATATTAGCCTGCCAGTACTTAGGCCCATGCGACTTAGGGTAGAAGTAACTGGCATAGATACTAGCCAAGTTACTTCCGGCGTTGACGACAGCGTAGGACACAGCCCGTTTGGTAGACGGACGTGGCAGGGTTGTTGATACCCATGAGAGAATGCAGCCGAAAGAGCCGTACACGCTCATCATCATGAATGTCGCGGTGTACCTCGCAGCGACGTTGAGGGTAGTGGCCGAAATGATGAAGCCAACACTGCAAAAGACCTGAGGCCAGACAATGTGAAGCCATCGCTCGCGATGCTTATCTGAATGCCATGAGTTGGTAATTCCAAGAATGGCAGCGAAGACGTAAGGAGGGGCCGACAGGAGCAAGGTGTTTCGCTGATTATAGCCAAGAGTTGCAACAATGGTCGGAAAGAAGTTGGTGAAGGAAGCTGCCGTGTTCAATCCCAGCTGCATCAGCCAAATCATGTACAGCGCTGGGTCAGTGAACGACATCTTCAAACCCTGCCAGGCGGTCGCCTCGCCTCGGTCGTCTTCTTCAACGGCCTCCTCTGTGATGCGTAGAGTGGCCAGCTGTCTTTCCTCATCTGTGAGCCATTTCGTCGTAGCCGGATAATCGGGTAGAGTGAAGTAGGTGAGGACGGCGACAGGAATAGGGATCGTGCCTTCGATGATGACTGGTCCACCACCGAGTTAGTTCATGAGTCTGATGGAGCATCGGGGACAGCAATGCAAAACACTCACAGAGCCATCTCCAGTCCGCCAACCCTAATTTTCCATTCATTCCACCCATGATTGCGCTTCCCAGCAATCCACCAAAAGCTCCTGCCATCTGACCAGCTGCATAGAGGACTGAGATGCGTACCGCAAGCTCTTTCTTTGTGTACCAGGAGCTGAACAGGTAGAGAGCACCGGCTGACAGAATGTCAATATCATGTTGCTTGAATCGATGGAACGGATCTTACGGAAGAATGGCGCCTCGACAAAACCCAGGAGAAAACGAAGTACAACTGCACCAGTATAGTTCTGCACCGCACCTGTTGAGGCACTGACCACCGCCCAACAGCACATGACGACAGGCAGGAATATACTCGGTCGCATCTTATTCAAGATCATGTTTGTCGGCACCTGAGTCAAGATATATCCAACAAAAAAGACGCTGATGATGGTGTTGTATTGGGTGCCAACCAAACCAATATCCTTCTCGAAGTCGCCAAGTCTTGCAGTCGCAATCTATATATCATGATTATTAGAATGTTCGCCCCTAGATAAATCATATACAAAGAAAGCCAGGTCTTACGTTGTTACGGTCCAGGTAGTTGAGGACATGTGCACACGAAATGTCAGTACGTTGTAAAAGAAGCTCCTGGAAGACGAGACTTATAGAGTAGCATCATCAACGGCATCCTGAACATCTGGTCAGCACATTTCTTTAACAGGGTTGATTGCAGGACAGCGCTTACATTCGAATGTCTATCCTTCGCACTAGCCGCCGTTCTTTTAGCTCGCGATCCTGAATTACTACATCGTCGGCAGAATTTGGCTTGACGGCGTCGTCGAGCATCTCGACTTGAGGGTCTTTGCCTGAGTCCTTGTCGACTCCTGAGCGCGACATGATGGGTGAAGATCGTCAAATCAGATAGGCAGAGAGTAGAAGAGTAAACTGCCTCTCACAAACTCGGACGAGATCTATGAGAAGACTTGATGTGACCAGACCTAAATACAAGCAACACCTCGGTCCATCGGCGTATTCTCCGACCTAGTCCCACAACCGATGCTAGGTCTCCGGATATCGTCCCCTCCCCCGCAGTCACTGATGCGGAGAAATGGCGGGAGCTGTGGGTCTGGGGTAGTTCGAGGAGGCTAATGGGCAGATGCTCACGCAGGTGCTCTGATCTCGGAGCCTTGGTCGTCGGAAAGGACACGCGAGCCGGTCGGCTGTCGCATAATCCCGGTCTCTGAGGTTATGATTAGAAGTATGTCTGAAGGGTAAAGAAGTATGGCGGATAATATTGCCGGCTGACTTGGATGCATTCCTCAGAGAGCTACATGATACCGATTAGGCTTGAACGACACATAGGCTGAAGATCTGTCAAATGACTAGAGGAATGGATAACAGAATGTGCTCGTGTAGTTTGAATCTGATTAATATCTCATGATTCTATGTGGTGAGAAGTCGCGCGTCAGTGGGCGGAGGCGAATATATCCAAAGCAAAGAAACCAGAGGAGCATGACCAACTGTCTACGTGGAAACCGTACCCAGCTCAGACGTGACAAGGTACCGCCCCCAAGGTCCTCAGTGATTTCCAAGTTGGAAGGTCCAACCTCCGCCTAAGACCCCTGTGATGTTTGATCTGGCTCGTTGGAGTGAGCTTCCCCGCATACATCTCCGGGGTGGTTATCCACCACCGCGGGGGTCAGTCCGGAGTCGCGGGGTAAGGATCCAACGCTGTGTATTTGTTCCTCAGATGATGATCGATTACAAAATTGGGATGGCGCAGCCGATCGGGATGAAGATGGTCTCACTGATGCTTTGAACAAATCTCAACAAAAGTACCGTCCGTCGGCTTGATTCTCAATAGGCCAGAGTCGGCCGAGACCCCGCTTGGAATCGCGGGTGAGACGTGCCTTGTACAAACCAACCAACCATTCCAAGTTCGAGACAGGCTTGATGCAGGCCTAGGTGACGTGCTTCCTCGGACAAGTCTCCGATGTCGCCAACGCCGACCATCGGTCAACCAATATTTCCCCTCCGCTGCCTCGTTCGGATTGTGACGCTGGCATCTATTAGAACGGTGTATATCCCAAGCTTGGAATAAAGGATGGCTACTTGAATAAAATATGATCACCATTCACAGTCTAGTTTGACCCAGTTGTTGTGCTTGATACAGCCTTCTCCACGATGCCCAGCGCTACGAGACCCATCGTCCTTCATCTCGGAGACCCCATCGAGTACAACCCCGACATCTACAAGGAGTTGGAGCAAGTAGCAACTGTCATCAGACCTCCAGTTGAAGAGAGACAGCGAGAGCCTTTTCTGCAGGCACTCCGAGAGAAGAAATGGGGCGACTGCACGGCCATCATGAGGCCCTTTTGGAACTCGGGCGGCGAGATGGGTCGTTGGGATAAAGAACTGATTCCATTGCTGCCTGCTTCGGTAAAAGTCTTCGCATCAGCTGGGGCTGGATTCGACTGGGCAGATGTAGATCTTCTGGCAGAAGCTGGTAAGTGGTGTAGGCCTTCTCGGCCTGTCAGATGTCTCTGACCAGCTACAGGTATTCTTTACTGCAATGGAGCAACGGCATCGTCCGAAGCTGTCGCCGACATGGCGCTTTACCACATCATCTCGGTATTCCGAAATATGCAGTGGACTGCCACTGCTGGACGAAGCGGCGACCCCGAACAATTTCTGGATGCACACAGAAACAATAGCGAGACAGCACGCAACCCAAAGGGCCACACTCTCGGCATCGTAGGACTCGGCAATATTGGATATCGCATAGCGCAAAAGGCGCACGCAGCTTTTGATATGAAGGTCGCATATGTTGACCCGATTCCGAAGCCCGAGGACCGAGAAGCTGCTGTCGGTGCAAAGCGATACCCTGACCTCAGTGCAATGCTGGCTGTCTCCGACTGTGTTGTGATCTCGGCTCCTGGGGGCGCTGAAGGTGGCAAAGCTCTCATGGATGCGGCGCGCATAGCTCAGATGAAGCCGCAGTCACGCCTGGTAAACGTAGGACGTGGGAACTTGGTAGACGAGGAGGCGTTAGCGGATGCGTTAGAGTCAAGTCATCTCGTTGCTGCTGGCCTTGACGTGCACAACAACGAGCCATACGTGAATCGACGCCTGCTTGCTATGAGGGACGTCAGCTTGACTTGCCATACTGCGGGAGGCGCTGTTGAAACAAGGATCGGATTTGAGGAACTTGCGATGAGGAATGTGATGCAGGTGATCCTTGGCAAGGAGGCGTTTACTCCTGTCAACAAACATTTCTTCAAATGAGAGCACAGAACAGTTTTTTCAATGCCAGAACATGTTCAAATGCCATTTCTCAGCACAAATGGTGTTGGTAAATATGATACACAGACGTGAAACTCTGTATGAATTACCCAATCCCAGTGACACATCAGTGCAAAGCTATTGGCAGCCTGAATATTGCCACCCCCGAATGGCTCCGAAGATTCCGGCCAGCGGGCCGGTCAGTCGCTTCGGCCCCACATACCCTACTCGGCTTTTGGCATCCGGTGCCCGGCGTCAACAGTCATTGCTTTCACTAGATGTCCAGAATCATCGAGGTCTCGTAGATTGTAACGTAACACAATAAACTTCAGTGCATGTGGCTTACTATGATCAGCGCTTGACCTTTTATGTCTCGCTTGCCGGGCACCTGTGACCATCCGGGCAAAAGTTGTTGCCCATACGTTGCCGGTCAATCCCAAGGCCTGTTGGTGAGTCTTACCGGTCCCCAAACCCGCTGAATTCGGGGGCGGCAATCTCAGCTCGCGTATTAAAGTCGTAATTAAGCCTTTTTAGACCTGGTGAATGTGACGCTGACCCTCTTCGTATCTGCTGTGCCGCAGCCCTAACTGCAAGTGGACATGACTCCGCCAAGATTAGTGGTTGTTGCGATTTTGCACTGAAATTGGCCTCGAGAAATCTGCCTGGGTTTTGAGACAGAAAAGTTCTGGCGCAAACAGCTGCCTCAAAAGCCACCCCATGGCATACTCTTGTGATCATTTCCATTTCTTTCCCCCGAACGCAGAACGATCAGCCCAAAACAACCGCGACAGCGAGATGATGTCACGTTGGCTTCTCATCGCGGCTCTATACGCCATCATAGACTCAGGTGCGCACGCATCATGCATTTGGGGTTTTGGCGGCTACGCTGAGCCATGCGGGGCCCAATTCATTGGCGCGGACGACAAAATCTGGACAGATGCCGTGGAAAACAGCAACTCCAGCGGGACCTACGCCATGCCTGGATACGACGTCTCAAAACCATGGCCAGGTAGCCCGATGGACGGCTGGAAGATTGCTATGGCAGCCGTTGACTTCGATCACTACCAGCGAGGTGAGGCCGGCAGCCTATTGGGTGGCCGTGCAACTATCGGGGATGACATCAAGATCATTGCCCCCGAGTCACTCTATGTGCCTAGTGCCAACGAGAGCGACCATGGACAACCTATGGTAAACGCGAATACCGATTGGGTATTTTGCGCATGGCGCTGGTTCTCTCCGCCGTATGGGAATCAGTCCCTCGTTATGAATCCAGACAACCTTGAAGCACCGGAAGATGGTTCCTGCAAGCAGTGGCTACCCGATGCTTGTATTCAAGCTGTAGAGAAACTGGCAAGTACGGTACGGCATACTGGATCAATTCAGAACCGAAGGGTGTCTACGGCTCTCGGCATACATGCTTTGATCTGGATGTTCCAGAGGAGTGTTCGAGTACCAAATTGGTGGATAATGATCCACTCCTCCCAAGTACGCAGCTTTCTTGTTATTTATTCGAGTCTCTATTGGAAACTAACCTTTTCCGTAGCTTGGGGTATACCTCTGCAACATTTGAATGGCTCAACCACTTGGCAGAGCGGCTACGCCATCAACGAGAACACAACTGCCGAAGAAATGCAAGAGATGTGGAAGACTGTGACACAAGGGTACCAGCCGATTGTCACGATGTTTGGGCGTTTCCAGAATGATACGCCATACAGTCTAGACTTTGAGTCTGGTTTCGCGAAATTGAGTTGTGTTAGGGCTGCCCCTGCGAAAGGAGCAAAGTCCAACAGCGAAAATGGCGACGGAAACAGTAGCGGAAGCGGAAGCGGCGGCGAAAGCGGCAGCGGTAGTGATGGCAAGAGCGGAAACGGGTCCGGTAAGGATGGATCTGATAAGAGCGTTGCTTCGCATGTGACAAAAGCCTCCATGTTCTTGGTTGTTTCGGTAGCTGTTGCACATTTGCTATTTTGAGCCTGGTTGAGTTCGGGGCTTTCCTGTCACTTAGAAAAATGACTTGTACATTAATGACTGGTTACTTTGGTCAAATTATCTTGAGACAACGCATCGCTATGGCTGAACATGTCAGTCTAATGGTGATGACTTCTCCTACATGCAAATACACTGGTCAGTGGGATATTTCTTCACCACATCCTCGAATACTGATATCTCCAGATTTATCATAACGGATTCGATTGAAACTCCCAGGCTGGGATGATGGGCGGCAGAGCTGGCTTGGCATGAATGCCAACTTACGCTACGAGCAACAGACTAGACAGCATGGCACCCGCAATCATAAATAGAACTGTCATTGGGCTTGTGTTATCATCAGTCTCCGCGTGCCCATGATCATTGATTGAGAAAATTGAGTTGTACTATGTTGTTTTAGGGATCTTTCTCATTTTGAGACCAGATCAGAACTCTTTGCGATCAAAGCTTCATTCCGTTCACCCAAATAATGGCTCGCTCGGTAAAAGACCAAAATGCAAACGTGCCATTGTTGGATGTTGGCGGATCTTGTCTCGTGCGCATCGCGAGTGGGCAGTTGCATGGTGAACTTTGATTTAGCGACACCAGTTAAACCCCTGCGGTAATAGTAAGCCGGTCCCTCGGCTAAGCATCATCGCGAAGACCGAATGGGGCCACTTGCCCAGATTTTGTCCTCTTGTAGCTTAGGATGTAACCGGAAATCTGGGGTAAATGGAAGCTTGCATTTAGCCGTGAGGGGTCACATCAGCATCGTCATTTCCCCAGATGTATTGAACGGTATAAATTAGAAACAATTTGTTGGCTGCTATCATGTGTCACGGAGCTTATGAGTTCGGAAGGCAATCCATCGGGACTCAATGAATACCATGTTCAAACCACCTGCGCTCCTGGCTTTAGGCCTACTTCAACTCACAGGTGATCCACTCGAAACCAGTTTTGCATGTTGATGCTGATCTTCCCCGGAGAACTCGCGAGTGGTCTGGTCAACCCCATTATCCCAGGTTTCAACCCGGATCCTTCAATCATCAGAGTCGAAAGTGACTTCTTCCTCGCAACTAGTACTTTTGAATTCTTCCCGGGTGTCCCCATCTATCACTCAACAGACTTGTGAGCTCAGAAGCTGGATCTACATGCAGCAGGCCCCCTCCCCAGCATCTTGAGGAACATTCTAAAAGAAGTCCAGGGTCAAATGGGATAATATCGGACATGCGCTCAATCGCCCGTCTCAGTTGAATCTCCGTGGGACTGCCCCCAGTGGGGGCATTTTTGCTCCCACACTTCGACACCATGACGGTGTCTTTTATCTCGTCGACACGGCATTTGACATTATCAACCCTCCTGACAACGTTTGTATACCTTACGTGGCAAAGAAAGTCGTCTTTACTAATGCGATTCTAGGTGACTAGAGTGCCTCGCTCATTCTACGTTACCACGACCGACATTTTTGACGAAAATAGTTGGAGTGACCCTACTTACGTTGATCAGTGGGGATTCGATGGCGATCTTTTCTTTGACGATGACGGCAAAGTATACTTTACATCAACGTTCTCTGAGTTCGTCGAAAATGGGAATTTCGGGAACTGGATCACTGAAATCGACATCACGACTGGCAACTCTTTAAGCAATTCTCGACTGCTCCATACTACCACAGTGCCCCCCGAGCTTGGATACCCTTTGGTACGTATAAGGAATAGAGACACCCCCCACATTGATAATTGAAATGGAGACTGACCTCGGCAGACGGAGGGAAGCCACCTTTACAAACTGAACGGAACCTATTACATGATCACGGCCGATTCGGGAACTGAAGCCAGCCACAAAGCAAACGTGTATCGCTCAAACAGTCTCGAAGGGCCGTGGGATGGAAACCCACATAACCCCGTGCTGTGGAATGGCGAAGACATGTCCCGACCGGTACTTGCAACAGGCCATGCTGACATCGTCAACAACACCGAAGGTAACTGGTGGGCGGTATTTCTTGCAACCCGCCCACAGAACCCACGGAACAGTACTGGTCTTCCCCAGCTGGGCAGAGAGACTTTTCTCTGTCCGGTCACCTGGGACGATGAGGGATGGCCTATTTTCAACAATGGCAACCCCATCACTGAATACGAAGCCGACGTGCTCTATGACCTGGACAGGCCTCAGATCTGGCGAGACGAATTCGATGGCGGGCTTGTTGATAAGTCTTACTACTACTTGAGAACGCCTTACAAGGACTTCAAAGACTTTGAGTCTACCCCTGGGAAGCTTCGTATCAGAGGAAATGTCTACACATTGAATGACAGAGAGACTCCCGCAGCCTTGCTTCGCAAGCAGGTTGATCTCAACACTACCTTCAGCACTGAGGTAAGCGCGTTCAGTCCCGAGAACTGGAGACAAGAAGCCGGGGCAAGCATTTATCTCAGCATTCACTACCACAACGAAATCGCTTTGACTTACTCAAATGCGACCGGCAAGCGAGCACTTGTGGTTCATACAAGAACGGGTATCGATGCAACACTGAACACAACCTATGTCGAGGATGAAGAAGTTGCTGCAGGCGCGCCTGTCAAACTCTTCATTGAGGCGAAGGATATTGGCTACCGTCTGGGATATTCAACTGGTAGTAATGACCCCCAGTGGCTTGCCAGTGTCGAGAATCGATGGCTACAGTCTTACGTCGAGGGGTGGCAGAATTTTGTAGGCAGCCATTTTGCGATCTACAGCACTGGTACTAGACTACCTACATTGAACTCTGCGGTATGTTGCAAGCGCCTTGGTTCCATGCAGGTTCCATGCAGGTGGTAAACTGACTAGAATACAGGAGTTTGAATACATCCAAACTGAGTTGAACTGAGCTCGGACTGAGCTCGAATTGAGCTATTGGATTTGGAGATTGGTATCACGAGTAGACTAGGAGCTTCTTCTTGGCTCGTTTCACGGTAGCTACAATGAAAATGGCGAAGCCATCCCAATATCATATTTGTAGAGTCTTGGGCCGTCGCTCGATGTTGATCCACATATCCTCGTAGAAACTGACACCACCCTTGACAACGTACCGCCCGGGATCAGTTTTGTTAATGGCCTCTGGCTTGAACCTCCGGAACAGCTGCATAGGGGCCTTAGAAAGTTCCATCATGGCCAAGTCGCGCCCAAGGCATACTCTCGCACCGTACCCAAAGCCCATGTTGTACTTCAGCATTTCCTTCGTCTTCTCTTCGCTTTCCAGCCATCGTTCAGGTCGGAAGACTTCTGCATCAGGCCCAAACACCGCTTCATCACGATGCACGAGCCATGGATTGCAGGTTAGTTCGGTACCTTCGGGAACATGCTTTCCAAAGAGCTGCATCCCCGCTCCTGCGATTCGAGGGAAGATGTTGGGTGCTGATGGATTCAGACGTAGTGTTTCCCGAACACAGGCTGTGTAGTAAGGGCAGTGAGCTTGAACTTCGGCATACTGAGGTATATCTGAAAGATTGCCTGCCCGTGTCTGCGTGTCAATCTCTTCCATGAGATGCTCGTAGACCTCCGGGTGTGTCAATACGTGCATCATGAAGGCCTGGAATGCGGTTCCAGTAGTATCGGCGCCAGCAAGAAGGACCAGCAGAATTTCTGCCTTGATATACTCTAAGTCGAGTGGCTCTCCCTTTTCGTCTCGAGCCTCAATGAACCTTGACGGAATTTAGTATCAAATTCTACGATAACCGTTTTCATCCTGAGGCTTACGTTTGAAGTAGATCAATCCGGCCGTTTGTGGCCCCCTTCTCAATATCCTCAAACCTCTTAGCAATCAGCCGGTCTCGAAATCGCATCAAGGTACCAATCCCAGAATCTTGCTCGGGTGTTGCTACCAAGTACTTGCCGAGAAAGGTGCTCTTCACCCAATTTGTGAAAGGCCAACAGCGGGCCATGATTCCGAATGGCACGAGTCCGTCATGGAAACCTTGGATGAGTCCTTCAACGTCCTTTTCTTGCTCGATGAAGCCGAAAGGTTGGCCGAACCCAACGTCGGAGACGATGTCGTACACCAGGTAAACTGCCCACGGTGCAAAATCTAAGCGTTTTCCAGGCGAGGCAAAGTTGTTGTCCAGTTGTTCTATCCAGCGATCGATATGATGGTCAAGCAGCGGTTCCATCTTCTTGATGTTGGAGAAGGCGTAGGGTGCAGCTGCAATCTTGCGGTAGCGAGCATGGACCGTATGATCTTGCATGTTGAACAGAGATTCTGTCTTGCCGAACGAGCCAGTGATGTAATGCTGAGACTTATTGGCATTGCGGTGGTATATTTCAGGGAGTTTTGTTGCGTCTGTCACCAACAGCATCGTTGGTGTGATACGCATGATAGGACCTTGGGCACCTAGTCAATTATGGCAACGGGAAACACCGTCAACAAAGCTCACCATGTTTTTTGTGAAGCGCTTGAAGAGTCTGGCACTCATCCTGCTTGACGTTGTGATATGTGATCCATAATCTGGTGACCGAACCCCAAAAGGGACCGGGAAATTTGGCCAAGGGGTGGAAGAATCTGTAGTAAACGATCTGATAGACAACGTTCCAGGCGATGTACGCCACGCCGAGCAGGAGAAAATTCGCAACACTCAAAATTGCCATCATGAAAGATGCGGCAGCAGGTGTGTAATCAGAAACATTTCTTTGGCCAAACTTCTTTCGAGTTTGTTTCTCAAATACCAAGCGTTGGCGCTCGCCCGATCAGATAGCACATGACGACCAGGGGCAGTGGGTACGCCGAAGGATTCATCTGGTGGACCTTCACCAACGCCCCTGTCTTGATAGGTTGTGCAATGCAGTGACGAAAGATGCCGCGCGAGGTTGCATCGTGTCGGAGTAGACCTTGCAATAACCCCGCTCATGGGCAACATTAGCTAACCGAAGTCCCTTGCAGACATGAAGTAATGACGATCGTATCACCAAGTAGTAAGGTGCCCTGCCGGCACCCAGTGAAGGATTCAGATGCTTAAAACGGCGCCCGATATGGTGCGGTGACTTTGCCCGTCACGAGGCTACGGGCAAACAGACCATATTTTCCAGGGATTAGATGCAGCAAAGTGGATGTTGAGGGTGCAGGCTCGGACTTGAGCCGGTCGGCCGCCCCTGCAGGGGCACAGTGAGGTGGATCATCACCACGACGGAAGATGTTGGAATCACAGTCTTCGAGAAAACCGGCTGTCCAGTTGTCTTTTGTTCAGTACCTTGCAAATATACTTGGGTACAGAATTGAACTGTCTAGAGACAGGTGTTACACTACTAAGATAGGTAATATGTTATAACTATTGTACATATGAATTTTACAAGTGATCTGGTTGGTTCTGTTGCGCCCTTGCATTACCAGCAAGCGCACATGCCTTCGGCCCCATCATTGCGACCGTTACAGCGGCCTTCTCGAGAGCTGCATCGTCGACACAATGCGCCGCTTGCTTCTTGTTTCCATTCATCACTACCGACACAAGTCTGGCAGTAAAAGACCCCGGATGGATCATACTTGGTTTTGATCTCAATCAATTGCTTCCAATTTGAGGAGTAAAAGTCCTCCTGAAAATTCGTGTCGCCCCAATCCGCTTCGTTCATGTAAGTTCCAGTGTTTGGTGAAAGTTCCCGATAGACTGGGAGTACGTTCTGACGGATGTCGTCGAAGAGATCGATGTTCGATGACACAGAAAGCTCGCCACTGAGAATCGGTCTCTCAAAAATATCAAGGATGACAGCATCATACCAACCAGGCTGGACCGCGGACGACGTGTCTCGCGTTTCTTGCGCCGTCTGAAGACCATGATGGACGACGGTATGGAACACGGCCTTGCCGTCTTTTCCAGCCATTGTCTCCATAGCTTTGCGAAGTTGGTCTCGATTGCCCTCCAACGCTGATTTCCCCAACAAGCGGGAGGCCAGGGCAGAGACGCCGCCGACAGTTGCATCTGTTCCTGACTTGTTGGCGTAGTAGGCACCATAGTCTGTGTACGCCTTCTGCGTAATGGAAACAGTGAAGCCGGCGTCCTTCAGAGGAGAAATCTTCTCTGCGATAGGCTTGAACAACCGGGTCGCCTCTGCTGCATCGTTGCCCAGCGTAGTGAACGTCTGGGTGTAGAAAGTAGAAAAGTTGCCGCCGATTGGCACTGGGCTATTCATTGCCCAGGCGCCGTAGCCGGCAAAGCCAACCTCCGAAAGATAAGGGTAGGACGAGTAGATATCTGTCATCGCATCGATGAACTTGGCCGAGACATTTGCGCTTGTTGATGCGGTGCCGATAACAACGTCGATGGCATCAATATTCTTGGTCGGGTAGGTCTTGACTGTCATCTGTGTCACGACCCCGTAGGTACCACCACCTCCTCCACGAATGGCGTAGAAGAGATCAGTGTTATTGCAAGGGCTCGCTGTCACTATCTCTCCAGATGCCAAGACGACCCTTGCGGACAGGACCTGGTCGGCACCGAGCCCGTAGAAGCGAGTCACCGGGCTGTGACCGCCTCCTTGTGTCCAACCGCCAGTGGCACAAGGCCCCTTGATTGTTGTCAGTCAATTTTAGTGTAATGACAGCAAGATACCAACGGCAAACATACCCTGTTGTTTCCGCCGACGACGATGAGATTCTTCTCGAAGGCAGTGGGGTAGATATCGGACCACGAGTAGGCTCCAGTGATAGTCAATGCGCTGCCTTTCCAGTCCGACTTGGGACACTTGTTTACGACCTGGAAGTCTTCATGGAAGTTGAAACCTTTTCGATAGTTTTGCAACCAGATGGAAAGGCTGCCGTAGCCAGTCGACCTTTGGTATGTCGTTAGCTTGGCCGGGTTCGACTTTATTCGACATAGCTGACCTTTGAAGGAAGTCATGACCCGTAGACTTGATGACGACACGAATGTTGTTCTTCTTGGCGAACTCGACCGCCTTCGAGATATGCTCCTCGTCGGTGACATTGATCGCAAACACTGGGGAGTTTCCGATGGTGCAGTTGGCCGAGGGGGCATTGGCAGTGAACTGAGCTAGTGGACAAGAGGAGTTGAGAGGATAGTCATAGCCGATGGGCTGAGATGCCTGGAAAGTCGCCGTGCTCCAGCCCTGGGTGACGGTTTCACAGGCGGCGGCATCCCGATTGGGTCCGGCATAACACGGCGCCGCAGGTGGGGCCGTCTGGATGAGGTTTCCGGCGATGGAGCTATTGAATCGGCCCCACTCTTTATCGGATGGCCAGCAGATATCATTAGGGGTCTGCATGTTGCGGTCGCATTAGCATGGATGGTTGTATATAAAATGGCATGTTAGGTAAATTTCTTACACATTTGCATTGGCCAGAGACGAGAGGAATCAATGCGAGCAACGCGATGTACGCGGAAGTAAGCTCCATAACTGCAGCACATGCAGTGGCCACACAACGTCGCTGAAAGTACCTTACAGCTGGTTGAGCTTCACCACCTGTAGCTTGTGGGAAGCCTTGAACCCAAATCTGTGCTGAAAGAACTTATTTCATCCGTTTACCTGCATGAACACCCAATCAAACGAAACATTTCGCAATTACCGAGTGAATGAACGCGATGTCCTTGATGCGAATGGGGCTCCACAGGTGATGATGTGAGAGCTGACGTGAGATTTTACAGGGGCAATCGCGGTAACTAGAGCCACCAGCCACAGCGGCTGGTCAATGCGACCGGGCACGCCCACAGAATGCAGGTCACAAAGAGCTCGAACTTAGCTGTCTAATCACAAGTAATTAGTAGACATCTGCGGCAAAGGATAGAGAGATAATGATTTGCGGTAAAACAGCACAGATGGTGATGTCATCTGCGTAAATGAGAACTATCTAGACTGGAAGCGAAGCCACGGTCCAACCTTGGCGGATGTAACATGATCCCACATCTGGAACTCATTCACGTTGCCAGTTGACCCGCCAAACGACTTCTGGTCTTTTGTAGACCTGGTGAAGTCGAACCTGTAAAGGATATGCGCCAAAGTCAACGTGATCTCGTGGTAGGCAAATCCCTTTCCGACGCAGCTGCGAGGTCCACTCGAAAATGGGTAGAATGCTGTGCGTGCCAACTCCGACTCTTTGGTCGATCCGTCCTCGCCTGCAACCCATCTTTCAGGCTTGTATTCAAATGGAGAATCGAAGTAGTCGTCGTGGTGATGTAGACTGTAGATCCCAGTACCAACATCGATGCCTTCTGGAAGGGAAAGAGACCCGATAGTCATACCTCCTGGCCGGACTTCTCTCCAAAGCGCACCCCCTACAGGTGGTGACATTCTCAGCGCCTCGTCAATACAAGCTCTGAGATAGTTGCATGAGCTAAGCTTGGCTCCGATGCGGATGTCCTCCACACTGTCAAAGCTCGATCTGATCTCATGACACAGCCTGGCATATGCCCTGGCGTTTCCACTGAGGTAGAATAAAGTAGCTGCCAGTGTGGTTGAAGACGTGTCCGACCCTGAACAAATGTCAGTATGAGGACCAAATAGCGTTTAACAGGGAATAAACGTACCGGCAACCACTAGTGTAGCTGATTCTGCTCGTATCTCAGACTTGCTGAGTGTTGACTCGCCGTCCGGATCCTTGGCAGTTTCAAGGTATGAGAAGACGTTGCCATTGTCAGAGAATGAAGCCTTTGCCCTGCTTTTAAGGAGAGAACCAAGAAATACGAGAAACTTATTCCTGGACTTGATGGAATCGGCGAACAGATACTTGTCGATCCTTCCAAGCGCAAGACTCGAAGCTTGGACCAAGGCACTGATACGGACGTTGGATGCCTCCAAGGCTGACATAACAAAGCGGTACTTTGGCTCTCTGAGGGCGTTGTATTTCATACCAAAGATGACCTCTGACATGATATCGAATGTGAAGTAGTCACCTTCACAAGTTAGCTTCAGGCAATCTTAACAGGCAGGCGTGGAAACTTACACTGGTGAGACATGTCCAGTGCCTCAGACCCAGAGCTCGATGCCTGAGACTTTGCATTGTCAGACAGATTGAGACAAAGCGTGTCGATATGACGGAGGAGGATAGCTTCATAGGCGCGCAATTGTGCATCAGAGAAGGCAAGACTCAGGATACGGCGTCTGCGTGCGTGATCTTCTCTGTTGCGAATTGTCAAGGTGTTTGGGGCACTGTGAACGAGTGCTTGATAGGCCTTTGACTTGATGACATTTGCGCCATGAGAGCTGATTTCTGTACCCCAAGTTCAGGCAAATACAGTGTAAGTAGAGGGGTAGAAACAGTACATACCCCGGGCAGCCGTGCTGCTGTTGATGAGTAGGCGAGACGGCGAATAGCGGACAACGGGGCCTTCGAATTCTTGTTAGCGGGACGGACTTCAAAGTTACGATGGTCGACGGGACTTACCGTATTTTTGATGACATCTGTACATGTCAACATGGAGCGTTCCCCTCCATGCGTGATACGCGGCATAAAGATTGGTGCATCTTCCCAGCAACGGACCTGGGTAGGCCGCCAGTGGGTGCCAGACAAGTTGCTTGACAAGGAAAGCTACAACCTACGGGAGATGTCAGCCACAAAACCCATCAAACTGCCAGTAAATCTGCAGAGATTAACTTACGCAGGTAACTGCTGCAAATGCAGCCAAACTTAGATAACTCATTCTTGCGACAGTTTGTGAATCAGAACAATAATGGAAGCATTCCGCCGAATCTTTGGTCTTCGGAGACGCTGTATCACCGCAGTCTCCGTGGAGTGGTGAATTGTCTCCTGACCTAGGCACAGCGAACAGCACCCCCTTACAGGATGGTCCATCGTTTACAGCGGGTGAGCCACCAGCTGGCAGCCCTGATCTCGGCCAAGCAAGCGCTCTCCGCATGTGAGTCAGGCTCACGTCACGTTCAGAGAGAGCAGTTCTCTACGCGAGCTGCCCTGTGCAACTGGGCGGCTCTAGGTGGGAGCATCCCTGTCGGAGCGCTAACAAACACCCAGCGGGGATGCAAATGCGCTGTTGGCACTGAAATCGCATGCGTTACTGCTCGCATCCTCGTTCAGGGTCATCCAAACACGGCAGAAACCATGTTCAGCGTGATAAACTCATACCTGGCATTGCTGGGCCAAATACTCACCCTGTCTGCCGGGGCGGGTTTCCTGGCGGTTGTAAGTGCGCAATTTCAAGGTTGGAGCTGAATGTCGAGCACTAACAGATCACGTCCAGGTGGCTCTCTGTGTCTATCGCCTCTACTTCCATCCCTACGCCAAGTATCCTGGGCCACTCTTGGCGAAATTGACCAGTTGGTATTCTGTGTACCACACCTATATTGGTGATCTTCACGTTGACATCTGGCGGTGCCATGAGAAGTATGGTAAGTTCAGTATGCTGGGCTGCAAACAAAATGTGATACCATATCGCTAACACGCCACAAAACAGGGGATGTCGTCCGCTATGGTCCCAACAGACTATTGATCAACAATGAGGCAGGATTGAAAGGTGAACAGTCACTGGAGAGTTTCATTGAACAAAATTTGTCTAACAGAAATGTAGGTATTTATGGGCACGGCAAGAATGTTCGGAAGGCCAAGTCATATCATCGCATTTCGCTGGTGAAGGGTGTCGAAGCAACCCAAAGTGTCGTCGACAAGACCAAGCATGGCAAGCTTCGAAGAATCCTGAATCAGGGACTGTCGGATTCGTATATCCGAACATTCGACAAAGAATTGACAGATCTTGCTCGCTTGTTTTCGTCAAGTCTGGGATCAAGCAAGGACCGCTTCGTCCCTGAAACGGACGCAACTACTGACGGATGGACATGCGCCAAGAACATGGCCCATTGGTGTGAGTTGACGCTTAGCTACTGGGGACAATCAACTTGGACTAACTTCGCCTAGGTGACTTTTTCACATTTGACGTGACGTCGCAGCTGGTTTTTGGAAAGTCGTATCATCTCTTAGATAGCCCCGAAAACCACTGGGTTGCGGATGCTATTCTGGGTCAAATGCGTCGGGTGAGTTTCCTGATGCAGTTGCCCGAGTTGGAAGACTTGAGGTTGCATAAGATCTTGTTTCCCCACGCACGCAAGAAGGCGCTTCGATTTTCTATGAAAAGCAAAGAGATCATGGAAAAGCGAAAAGAGTCTTCTGAGGCTATCACGAATGACCTATTCTCAAAGCTTCTGGCTGCCAAGGACCCTGAAACGGGAGAGTCACTTTCCCAGTTGCAGTTATGGGCCGAGAGTAACCTGCTCATCATTGCCGGTAAGAACTGCGATGAATAACGAAACATGGCAGCCAGTGTCACTGACAGCGTTTACTAGGATCCGATACCTCCTCAACCGCGATGGCTGCTCTTTTCTTCTACCTATCTAGATATCCCGAGGCATATGAGAAGGTCGTCAAGGAGGTCCGGAGCACTTTCCGCTCCGCAAAGGAAGTTTCTCAAGGGCCCAAGCTGTCTGCTTGCACGTATTTGAGAGCCTGCATAACTGAAGCTGCCCGTCTGTCACCTCCAGCCGCCGGGGCAATGTGGCGGGAAGTGCAAGATGGCGGTCTTCAAGTCGGTGACCTTTACGTCCCAGCTGGGTACGACATCGGGACTGGTATCTACTCTATCAACCATCATAAAGAGTACTATCCTCAACCGTTTAAGTTCTGGCCCGAGAGGTGGATACCGGAGGTGGTTGGGGAGGAAGCCGTGTCGAAGGCGAAGTCTGCGTATGGCACGTTCTCTGTTGGACCAAGGAATTGTGTTGGGAAGGGGCTTGCCATGATTGAAATCTCGCTGGCGATGGCTGCGGTCATCAGCGAGTTTGACTTCCGCCGAGACGAGACAGGGATGGGCAGAGTCGGGGAAGGCAAGGGTGATTTGAAGGACGAGTATCAGATCTTCTGGGCTTTCACTAGTATGAAGGATGGACCTTTCGTGCAGTTCCGGCGGGCCGAGGCTGTCGGTCTTCATTGAGGTGTCCCAGGGTAAGCAAGTCTGTAGAAGTGTACAATACTTTATTCAGGCCCCCACAAAGTCACGATAGATGCCCAGACCGTGATGGTCTGGCTAAGTTTGGTGCGATGGAGACCGTCATCCCCGGTTCTTAGACAATACACCACAATACGAGCAATCAGACTCCGAGCTGCACGTCTATGCAACTGAGGAAATGTGACTCAACGTCAGAAAATGCTGGAAGTATTATACTACGGAACTACTCTTGAAGACTATGGCGCCAACCGAAGCTATCCATTGCTGTGCCATTCTGGATGCTCTGCAGTGCTCCCCATAACTCCTCATAAGCTGGGCCATCAGAAGCAAAGTTAAAAGTTTCGTTGGTAGACTTCCGATGAACACAAGATACGGAAACTAACCCAGCCGCGGTTCCCGCGGCGAGAACCTCCGTGAAGTTTGAAAGCTCATCAAACCTTACCTAAGGTAAGTTAGCAAATACTGACAAAAGTATTATGTGTCATACGTCATGCTCATAAGCTTACGGTTCTCTTTTCCACCCTCCAGCCGAGGGTTTCAGCAACTCTGGCCGCCGAATCCGCTGTAATGCTCTCTATCGCAGCTTTGCTGTCGGCAATGATGAGGCTCGTCTCTCCTCCATTTCTCCGAATACCGATGAACCCCGAGGTAGAGAACTCCTCAATTTCACTCTGAGTCTGACTGTCTAAATGCAAGAGGACGTTGTAACCCTCCTTTCTTGCCTCAGAAGTCCACCTCATCACTGGAGCGTAGTTGCCACCAACTTTCACTGCACCTGACCCCCTTGTGGCAGCGCGGTCAAAGTCATCAAGTACCAAAGCTTTGATGGCGCCGTGACCATGAAAGGCAATGTGAGGCTGAACAAAAACACAGAACAAAAACTCCTCGGGGGGGTCCAGACCAATCTGAGCGCTGGAGCCAAATTGGAAAGGTCGGATATACAGGGATCCCTTCACATCGTGGGGGCAAACATACTCTGCATTCTTCCTGACGGCTAGGTGAATGGCTTCAAGAAAGATGTCTTCTGGTACCTCTGGCATGGAGACAAAGGCAGCGGACCTTCTCATTCTAGCGGCGTTGGCATCGGGACGAAATATGGAGATCTCGCCTGCTGGGTCTCTACGAGCTGCATTTCGATAAAAGGATTAGCATTACTGTTTCAAACAATCATCACTATGGCTTGATACCTTGTAGTCCTTCGAAGACTTGCTGACCTGCGACCGAATTAGCATCCACCCATGGATGTCGATCTAAGCTGTTGGGGACACACACCATAGTGCAACCCCGGAGCCAAGCCGTGTATTGAAAGAAAAGGGCTCTCAACAAACGTCGGGGTTGTCCATTTGCCAGTGGCCGCGTCGTAGACAGACTCTACGTGACCAGCAACTAAAAAATGATCAGCTGGATATGTCTTGGTGTTCTACTTTGAGGCGGTAACTGACCATTATTCCGTTTGCTATCATACACATCCCACTCTGGTTGCTCATTAGCGACACTAGCACAAGCTTGGGGAGAGCCCTGGTGTTGTTCCAGGGGTTGGGCACTTGCTGTAATCCGATTTTGGTGGGATCATAACGGCTGTGAGACTGAATGTACCCTATAAAACCAACTGGCACAACAAGTCAACAGCGCAAGTCAACAGGAAGAGCCATTGTGCGCCGTTAAGCAACCAGCCTCCTGCTGCTTGCCTTGGTCGTCGGCTCATCGACAGGGGTCCGTTGCTAGTCGCACAGCACATCACTTACCGGGGCGCACCGGCCACAAATGGGTTTGGTGAGCATGACGTGAGATGGGTTTTAGCCCTGGCTAAGCGGGAGAGCATTGCAAATTGTGAGCGACGATGACATGATATGCAATATTGCTTGATGAATCGGCTTTGCGAATCGGCTCGTCAAAGTGAGCCAAGGACTGTGGGCGATGGCTATTGGAAAACCCGCTTGTGATTGGTCAGCGGCTATGAATCATGGTGAAGCAGATGGGGATAGCTACACAGGCAGCTACATAGCGACTTTGAATGCTGCAGTCAAAATGAAAGAGCATCCGGCTACAGTTCTGCCCAATCAATGGAGTTGATTACAAGAGGGTACTGTCAAGATATTTTACCAAAAGTATTTTGACGCTGGATAAAATATGATGTGACACGACAATGGACCAAAGGAATCTGATGTCAAATGGGTAGAATTTAAAATAATAGAACAAGTGTAAAAGAATTTATCTGCTTTTCAAGCCTTGGGCTTCACTTCAATGAGCGGGCCATTCTTCCAACTGATAAACATGTCCACCAGCTCGTACTCCTTGGACGGATCCGGTCCTGGGCCGCTGCAGGTTCCGTTGACCCATGATTGCTGGCACAGTCTCATGTCATACTTGAACATCAGAGTTGCAAAGAGAATTGAGATCTGGAGGTAGGCGAGAGGCTTTCCAATGCAACCGCGGGTTCCGGCACTGAATGCCATGAAGGCGGCGGAAGAGTGCTTCAGAAAATCAGGGGTGATGATGGTGCCGTCTGCAAGTGTCTCACCAACGATCCACCTTTCCGGCTGGAACAAGAAAGGGTCGGGGAAATATTCCTTATCGTGATGAATGGAGAAGACCGGCACGCCGATGTTGACACCCTCGGGGTAGAAGGTGTCCCCAACATGCACACCACCCGGTTCCACTTGACGGTGAAGCACTGAGCCAGCCGGGGG